AATTTGATTTCTTTTTCTGTGAGTGTTTTAGATTCCACATGTAAATGAGATCATACAGCATTTGTCTCTCTGTCTGATTTATTTCACTTAGCATAATGCCATCAAGGTCTATCCATGTTGTTGGAAATGGTAGGATTTCCTTTTTTGAATTTTTTTGGATGAATAATATTCCATAGCATATATACCACAACTTAACTCATTTGCCCATTAATGGGTACTTCAGTTGTAGTTGGGCTATTATAAATAATGCTGCTATGACTGTGGGGGTGCAGATATCTTTTTGAGTTAGTGTGTTTGTTTCCTTTGGATATATTCCCAGAAGTGGAATTGCTGGATCTTACAGTACTTCCATTTTAACTTTTTGAGAAACTTCCATATATTGTATTTTCCATAGTGGCTATACCAATTTACAATCTCAGCAACAGTGCGCAAGGGTTCCTATTTCTCTACATCAACCCCAGCATTTATCTCTTGTCTTTTTGACCATGGCCATTCTAACAGGCATTAGGTGATATCTTAATGTGGTTTTCATTAGAATTTCCCTGATGACTAGTAATGTTGAACCTCTCTTCATGTATCTTGGCCAGTCATATATTTTCTTTGGAAAAAATGTCTATTCAGGTCCTTTGCCCATTTTTAAATAGGATTATTATTATTTTTCATATTGATTTGTAGGAGTTCTTTATATCTTTTGGATATTATTTTTATTATATATATAATTTGCAAATTTTTTTCCATTCTGCAGGTTTTCTCATTTTGTTGATGGTTTCTTCTGCTGTGTAGAAGCTTTTTAGTTTTATGTGGTGCCATTTGTTTATTTTTAACTTTGTTGCTGTGCTGTAGGTATGATTTCCAAATAATCAGTACCGAGACCCATGACAAAAAGCTTTTTTTCTGTTTTCTTCCAGGAGTTTTATGGTGTCAGGCCTTACATTTAAGTATTTAATCCATTTTGAGTTAATTTTTGTGAGTGGTGTAACATAGGGTCCAGTTTCATTCTTTTACATGCAAATATTCAATTTCCCCAGCACCATTTATTGAAATGACTGTCATTTAAATCTCCTTTTAGTATACTTGGTTCTCCTGTCAAATATTAATTGACCATGTAATCAGTTTATTTTGGGGCTCTCAGTTCTGCTACGTGGTCTATTTTGTCTGCTGTTATGTCACCACCATACTGTTTTAATTACTGTAGCTGTATAATACAGTTTGAAATTGGGACGTATGATGCTTTCTGCTTTTTTCTTTTTCCCTAGGAATTTTTCTTTTTGTCTCTTTGGGGTCTTCTATGGTTCTATATAAATGGCTATAGTCACTGGAATCTTCATAGGGATTGCATTGAATCTATAGATGACTTTTGATAGTATTGAAATTTTAATAGTATTAATTCTTCCACATTGAGTTTTATATGTTGAACCATCCTTGCATTCCAGAGTTAAATCCTACTTGATAACGTATAATCTTTTTAATGTGCTGTGGATTTTGTGTGCTAGTATTTTGTTGAGAACTTTTACATCAGTATCCATTAAGAGGGCTATTGTTTTGTAGTGTTTTTTTTCCCCTTGTAGTATCTTCATCTGGCTATAAGTATCAGGGTAATCTGACCTCATAGAATGAGATAGAAAATGTTCCTTCCTCTTCATTTTTTTTTTGAGTGTCAGGGGGATTAGTGTTAATTCTTTAAATGTTTGGTCAAATTCAGGAGTAGAGCCATCTGGTCCTTGGGTTTTCACTTTTGGAAGGTTCTTTTGTTACACATTTAATTTCTCTAATTGTAGGTTTATTCACATTTTCTATTTCTTCATGATTCAGCCTTGGCAGTTGTGTGTTTCTAGGAATTTATGCATTCTTCTTGGTTCCCCAGTTTGTTAGTGTACTGTTGTTCATATTATTCTCCTATCCTTATTTCTGTGGTATTGGTTATAATATTCTCTTTCATTTTTTATTTTATTTGCTTTTTTTTTTTAGTCTAGCTAAGGGGTTGTCAGTTTTGTTAATATGTTTTAAAAACAACTTTTAGTTTAATTATTTTTTCCTACTCACTATTTTGTTTATTTGTGTTCTAATCTTTATTATTTTCTCCCTTGTGCCTGCTTCAGGTTTAGTTTGTTCTTCTGCAAGTTCCTTGATGTATATTATAGGTTGTGAATTTGTGATCTTGCTTTAAAAAAAAAAAAGAAAATGACGCCATTACAGAGAGCCATAAACTTCTTCTTATACAAAGCAGAGGCTTTTGTTTCATCCCATAAGATTTGGTAATTTGTGTTTTTATTTTTATTGTGTCAGTATTTTATAATTTCTCTTGTGATTTGTTTGACCCATTGTTTTTCTAAGAGTATACTGTTTAATTTTCACATTTGTGGAATTTCAAGTTTTTCTTCTGTTGACATCTAACTTCATTTTATTGTGATTAGAAAAGATAGTGTGTATGAATTCAATTTTCTCGAATTTGTTAAGACTTGTTTTGTGGCTTTATGTATTCTATCCTGAAGTATGTTGCATGTGTACTTGAGAAATGTATATTCATCTGTTTTGGGGTAGATTGTTCTGTATATTTCTGTCAGGTCCAGTGGTCTATAGTGTTTGTTTAGTTCCTCTATTCTCCTTATTGTTGTTCTAATTGTTCTATTCATTGAAAGTGAGGTATTGAAGTCTCTTAATATTATTGTGTTGCTGAGCATCTCTCCCATTAATTCTTTCAAACTTTTCCTCATTAATTTAGGAGCTCTGAGGTTTGGTGCATAAATACTTTTAAATCTTCCCGTGAGTTGACCCTTTTGTCATTGTATAATGTCCTTCTCTGTCACTTGTAACAGTTACTGATTTAAAGTCTTTTTGTCTGGTATTAGCATAGATACTCCTGTTCTCTTTTGGTTGCCATTTACGTGAAATATCTTTTTCCATCCTTTCACTTTCAGCCTGTATGATCTTAGATCTAAACTGTTTCTCTTCTAGAAAGCATACAGTTGGAAGTCAGTTAACTTTTAATATTAAAAACTGGCTCAGGGAAGGACTCTTTAAAACCTAATTTATATCACCCTGGCCGATGTGGCTCAATTGGTTGGACTGTCATGCTGTAACTGAAAGGTTGCTGGTTTGATTCTCTACCAGGGCATATACCTAAGTTGTGGTTGGATCTCTGATCTGAGAGCGTATGATCCCTGGGAGGCAACTGATTGATGTTTTTCTCTCTCTCTTCCTCTCTAAAAAGCAATGAAAGAATATCCTCTGGTGAAGATTAAAAAAAATAATAATAAAATAAACTTAATTTATATCAAAAGGCATTTAACCTCAGATCAGGGAACTGCTGATGACGCCTGCTTATTTTTGGAGCACTTATTTTAAGAATCATCCTTCTAGAATTTTGGTTACACTATGATCCAGAGGTAACTGTGGGAAAGCCAATCAAACATATGTATTACAAATGGTGTCTTTGATGAAGTCTAAACAGTCAGGTAGGTAATAAAAATCAGGAGTTCTGGGAAATGGACTTTCTAATGCTTAATTTTTACTTTTGCATTTCCTTTTAGACAATACAGTTAAGGGGGATGTTCTTATTCTTGCACTTTGGGATACTTGTCAAAAGTGCTAATTTTTTCATATTGTATCATTAGTTTTCTACAACTATTCTTGAATTGAACCCTCTCTTTGTAAGCTGTTATGAATCAGCCATTTTCAAAGACAAGAACTCCCATGCTCCACCCCCAGTATTATTTAGCTGCAGTAAATAGGCATTTTGAACTTTAATTTGAGCATTCTTCTTTCTTGGAGGGCCCAAAGAATAGCTGTGCCACAACATTGGCCGTAATGTTATATATTTATGGATTTCAAATTGCCAAAATGAGTTTGTAAAACAGCTTTCTTTGTTTTTTTTATGCTTTATCTCTTGAAAATTGCCATTGAAAGTTAACCAGTGTCACCCCAGTACATTCAATAAGAAGGGGGGAAAAAACCATTGAAGCAATGTGGGTGTGCCCCATGGTATTCCATCTTTTGAGAAGAACCTCTTGGAAGACTTGATATCTTAGAAATCTCTTTAGTTATTGGATGGATGTTCAGTTAATCAGGCCTTTCTATGACCAAAAACACCTTGTAAGTGCTCTGTAAAAAGTGTTTTGTTACTGTAGTAACAGTTTTAGTTCTGAAAAAATCTGATGACCCTGGGTTTCCTTCAGAGGCTCTTTCACATTTGTTATTATTAATATTTTATTAGCATTAGTCTTTTTTTTTTGACTCATACCTGCCTATTTTATAAGTTTTCTTTTCTGTGGACATTTTATCTTTTTTCTTTGCCTGTTTGAGAATCTGAGATATTCTTATTTTAAAAATGTTTTGAAAGCATAGTTTGTAATCTCACTTTTGGTTTTTTGGTGCACCATTCTCTACTTGGTATTTTGTGGTTGTCTCTATCTTGACCCCTGCATCTACTTCTTTGGGAGGAAGTCTAATATTGGAAGCTTTGGGTTTTTCTTTTCCAGGGATACTGGGTAAAATCTCAAAAACCAGTCCTGTGCCAGTGAGTGACTTGACCTAGTTTGTTTTTGTTTGATTGCCTCTGCTGTTTTTCATTTGCATTGTGTCAGCCTTGGGCAGCATCACAGCTTTAATGCAAGTGGGAGAGCTCTGTTTCAACCCAGTTTCACAAAATGAGCCTGATTTTTATTTTAGTCCTTATTATTAGAGTTAATTGCTTAGGTGTCTCAAACATTAAGATTTTAAAACACCTAATTTGCTTGTTTCTGCTTGCTTCTTTTACCTCTGGGGGCATAGGCTGTTAAGGAGCTGCCATGGTTTATTGGAAAGTATGTTGTGTCCTAACAGGATAACCATAAGTCCCTGTGTTTCCTTATTTTTAAGTGAAGATAATAATAACTTGAACTGTGGTTGTGATGTTGAAATGTCATTATATATGACATTATGAAAGAGTTTATAAACTGAGAAATATAATCTAAATGTTAGATTTTGTTACTGCTCTATTTAAATCTGCTTTTGATTTTCAGGTTGTTCCATTGACCAGTCATGTATGGCAGCAGTCATATCAAGACAAGAACAGAACACCTATTTCTGATTCTAATGTGGTCTCTTTGGAAGAAACAGCTCAGTGGGACTCTGAGGATGATCAGGTATGTCTTATGTAACTGGCAAACTGTCTTTCCTTTGGTAAACAGCATGAAAAATTGTTACCTAGCTGTGAATAGTAGAAAAAGTTGAGTTACTTTAATATTCCATTCCTCTAATAGATCTTTGGCAATCTTAATTATGAAACAGCAGCTCGCTGTTGCTTCTTTTTTTGTTTCAGAACTCCTTTACATTCTTCAAAAGTATTTTAAAGAGCTTGGCTTATATGGGTTATCTATATTGATAGCTTACTAGAAATTAAAACATTAAAAAATACTTATTTAAAAATACCAAGCCCATTATATAGTAACATAAACAATGTATTTTAAAGTGAAAAATGACTGTTTTCCAAAGCAAAACAAAATTATTTGGAAGAGTGGCATTGTTTTACATTTTTGCATATCTGTTTAATGTTAGGCTTAATAGAAGACAGTCTATTAGAAAAATAGAACCAATAGGAGACACATATATATGTGTTATTGAAATAATATATACCACATATGTTGAATATATATATATATGAGCATATATATATATATATATGCTCATGACTATATATATGATCATGAGCATATACATATATATGCTCATGATTATGGAGGCTGAGAATTCCCAGTATCTGTAACCTGGTAACTCAGGAGAGCTGATAGTATAATTACACTCTGAATCTAAAGGCCTGATGACCAGGCCAGTTGTTGGTTTAAATTTCATTCTGAGTCCAAGTCCAAAGGCAGGGGAAGACCAGTGTCCCAGCTCAAAGACCATTAGGCAGAGAGCAAATTCTCTTACTTAGCTTTTTGTTCTGTTCAAGCCTTTAATGGGTTGGATAAGGCCTGCTCACATTGGGAATGGCAATCTGCTTTACTCAGTCTATAGATTCTTCCAATGTTAATCTCATCCAGACATACCCTCTAAAATGTTTAGCCAAATATCTGGGCACCCTGTGGTCCAGTCAAGTTGATACATAAAATTAACCATCATAACTAGATTCTCATATCTGCTTCTGCATTTCGTCCTTTGGGATATACTGTTTCAGTTGAAATACGTAAAGAAAATCTGGTCTTACATAGAAATGTAAGAGGAGAAATGTAAGAGGAAATGTAAGAAGAGAAATGTAAGAAATTATAAAAGGAAGGCTTACATAGATTCCCTCCCTGAAAGGATGTCAGTGACCTGCAGGAAGCCTCAGACCACACTTTGGGAACCATTGATTTAGAACATAGTCATAAACTTAGAAGAAATGGAAAAATTATGAACATATAGGAAAAAGGTCATATGTAGTATATGTTTTGGAGGAAAAAATAAAGCCTTACTCATAATGGTTAGATATTTAAAGTTGATTATCTAATAACATTGTAAGAAAGTGCCAATCTGTTTTCTAGAGTGACTGTATCATTTTACATACTCCACAATGTATGAGAGTTCTAGTTGCATTGCCTTCTTGTGAGCCCTTAGTATTATTGTCAGTTTTTTACATTTTAATCATTCTAGGTGTATTATGGTGTCTAGGTGTGTTGTTTTTTTTAATCCTCACCTGCGTATATGTCTATTGATTTTAGAGAGAAAGGAAGGGGGAAAGGGAAGATAGAAAGAAACATTGATATGAGAGAGAACCATTGATCAGTTGCCTCCTGTACACGCCCCAACTGGGGATAAAACCCACAACCTAGGCATGTGCCCTAACCAGGAATCGAACCCTCAACCTTTTTGTGTAGAGATGATGCTCCAACCACCTGAACCACCCTGCCAGGGCTCATTGTGGTTTTAATATGCATTTTCATAATGACTAATAATATTGTGCATCTTTTTTTGTGCTTATTTGCCAAACATGTATCTTTAGTGAAGTATCTGTTTAAGTCTCTTACCCATTTTTTATTTTTTGGCCAATTTGTTCCATTTGTTGAGTTTTGAGAGTTCTTTATATATTCTAGATGTAAGCTCTTTATTAAATATATGTTTTACAAATATTTCCTCCCAAGGTATGGTTTTTCTTTGAATTTTTCTATCTGTCTTTCAAAGAGCACAAGTTTTAATTTTGATGAAGTTGGGTTATTGATTTTTGTTTTTTATGGTTTGTACTTCTTGTGCCCTGAGAAATTTTTGGCCTCATTCTAGGTCACAAAGATTTTCTCCTGTTTTTTATTAAAACAGGATTTCTCAATCTTGCCACTTTTGATATTTTAGGCCAGATAATTTTTTCTTGTATGGGCTGTTCTGTGTATTATAAGATGTTGAGCAGCATTCTTGGTCTCTTCCCACTAGATATAAGTAATACTCCCCATGTTTGACCATTTATGTATGGGTCTATTTCTGGACTCTCTATGTCATTGATTTATTTGTTTCTCCTCATCTCAATACCACATTCTTGATTACTGGACTGTCTAGAAATCAGGTAAAATGAGTTTTCTCACTTTTTTTTCTTCTTAAAAATAGTTTTGTTTATGCTAAGTTCTTCGAATTTCTATATGTATATTTCAGAGTCAGGTTGTCAATTTCTATATAAAAAGTCTGCTGGAATTTTGATTAGCATTGCCTTAAGTATAAAACAACATTGCCTGTATATAAATTTGCAGAAAATTGACATCTTAATACCGAGGTTTCTAATCCACAAACACAGTAGTTCTTTCAGTTTTATTTATGTCTTTAATTTCTTCATCAGTATTTTGTTATCTTCAATGTACCAAACTTAACACATATTTTGTTAGAATTACTGGCATTTTTAAAAATTTCAATTTCCTATTGTTCATCACAAGCATATAGAAATATAATTGAATTTTTATGTTGACCTTATATTCTACGACCTTGTTTATCTCATTTACTAGTTTTAGTACTAGCTTTTTTATAGATTCTTTAGGACTTTATATGTAGACAATCATAACAACTGTATTTTTTCCTTTTTAATATACAGATTACTGTTGAACAAGAGAGGTTTGAATTATGTGGGTCCATTTATACATGGAATTTTTTCATAAGTACCTGTAATGTTTTCAATCCATGGTTGGGAGTCTGGATGGGGAGGGCTGACTGTATGCATTGATTTATGCCATTTTATATAGGGGCCTGACCATTTGTGGATTTCGGTATGTATGGGGATTCTGGAACCAATCCCCTGTGGTTACTCTGGGCAGTTAAATTTTGGGGGAGTGAAAAGTCATAGAGGATTTTCAACTGCACAGAGGGATTGGCGCCCCTAACCCCGGGTGTTATTCAAGGGTCAATTGTATATGCCCTCTATCACTTGCTAGGATCTACTTGTTCTTCTGCTTGATCTGTTGATACTTTGTGATCTGACTTCAACTCGGTAAAAACAAGTATTACCAACAATATTTATGTAGCTGAATATAGTGAATACTTCTCTATCTTCATCTTAGGTACATGAAGTAAAAATAGCATTTGACACTGTTAACCATTGCATAACTTCTTAAAAATCATTTCTTGGCTTCTCCTGGTTTCCTTCCTACTCCTCTAGCTATTCATTCTCCTTCAGTTTTCTTTGCTGCTCTATCTTTCCCTTTAAACCAGCAATTCCACTGCTGGGATTATACACTAAGAATTCCAAAACACCATTCAAAAGAACCTATGCACCCCAATGTTCATAGCAGCACAATTTACAATAGCCAAATGCTAGAAACAACCTAAGTGCCAATCAGTGAGTGAGTGGATCAAAAACTTTGGTACATTTACACAATAGAATGCTACTCAGCAGAAAGGAAGGAGTCCTACCCTTTGCGGCAACATGGATGGAACTGTAGAACATTATGCTAAATGAAATAAGCCAGGCAGTGAAAGACAAATACCATACGATCTCACCTATAAGTGGAACCTAATCAACAAAACAAACAAACAAGCAAAATACAACCAGAGACATTGAAATAAAGAACAAACTGACAGTAACCAGAGAGGAAGGGGGAGAGGGATATTGGGAGGAAACAGGGGAAGGGCCATCAAGGAACATGTATAAAGGACACATGGACAAAGTATAGGTTCGAGGGTGGGAGGTGGGGGTGTGCAGGGTGGGGGAGTTTGATGGGATGAAAATGGAGACAACTGTATTTGAACAACAATTTTTTAAAAAGAAAAGAAAAATATATAAATAAATAAACCTTGAAATCAAAGGTTACAAGCTGTGGACCTGAATAAGGCCCAAATATAATTTGCAGAAACAATTTTTTTAGCACAGTCCTTTAAAATTTTTGAAGTAGAACACTGTAAAGTGTGCATGTAATGCATAGTTGGCCGTAAGTCCTATCACTCTCTAATTCCAGACAGATTTACTCATTTCTATTTACCTCTCTGCCCCAGTACACATTTGAGTTTTTGACCTCTGCTTGAAATGTTGGAATGCTATGGTTCTCATCTAGATCCAGGGCTTTATACTTAAAAATCCTAAATTTATATCTTCAGTTTATACTTTTCCCTTAGAATTTGTATTTATCCAACTGTTTATATGCCCTCCCTCCTTATACATGTCAAAATATTGAGAGTTGAGGGCCTTTTTATATTCATTTGAAAGGTATTATACAAGGAATCACTGTGTGACAGAAACATAGCAACAAAATATGCAGAAATTAAGAGGAATGTTGAACAGAGACTTAAAAAATTATTTTTTGATGGAAAATTATGCAAGTATGTTTGCCTGGGGAGATGAATGAATCATAGAGAGGGAAAGTGGGAGAATAACATATAGGAAGGAAATCACCCCCAAAAAATTGGGAGATGAGAATGCCTTTGATAGTTAGACTTTTTTAAGCCACAAAATGAAAATCTGTATACATAATGGGTCTGTAGATTTGGTAGTGGGAAGATTAGGAATTTTCATCTTCTGCTATTTACTTATTGCAGTATGAAATGAAGTCATCAGTTGACTTTAAGGAAAGGTGGGTCTTAGTGGGGTGGTTCAGTTGGTTAGATACCCCAACTTGGGGTAAAGTCCTGATACCCCAAGGTTGTGGATTTCATCGCCAGTCAGGGCACATACAATAGTCAACCAATGAATGCATAAGTA